TTTCAATAACACATGAAAATGAATACATAATATTACAAAAGATGTGAGTTTTCAAAAGTACAAGATTTTGGTTACTATTCAAAATATAAGTGTTTCTTCAAAATTTTAAATTTATTTTTTCTAGAACATATTTAGAAACACTATCCTTTAAAAAATATATAAATTTTATGTATTAATTTCACATATGAATATAGGTTTTTGACATTTTTGACAGTGAGGTTTTTGACGTGACGGTTTAAACCATGGTTTAAACTGTCAAAAACTGTCACATGTCAAAAACCTGCCAACCCTGGTATTTACACAATTTTTTTTAGATAAAATCGCACATTGAAATTTTTTTAAATCATTGATATTATTCTATGAATATATGCTTCCTACTTGCACTGTTTCATATATTTTTTCAATTGATTATAGTGTTTTGCTCATAAGATTTTGGATTTCTATTTTCAGCTTTTTTTGTTCTTTTTAAATTCTTCCCTGTAGGGTAATTTACTGCAATGTCAACATGTTTTTTTACAATCTATTTATACATTGTATTATAGTGCATTCATATAAGCTTGATTTTCTTTGAAATTATTGCTTAACCCCTTAACGATCGGTTAATTTTCGAGAAAACGGTCATAAAAGTACCTATTTTTTTGGCTTTTGTATTATGTATTTGATTAGTGCTGCAACTAGTTTAAAAGAAACTAACTATCTACAATTACCTTAAAAATATTCTGGTATTGCCATCAGGTGTGTAAAATGAGAAATAAAATGTTTTCTGGGCAAAAGAAATGAATTAGTTTTATTGTTATTGGCACGTTACTACTGAACACTCTAGCCCATCAATATCACAGGAGCGAGAAATAGCGGTCGAAAACTCACCCCGTCATTTTCACGGGAGCGAGAAGGAAGAGGTTAAGCTAATTGAAAAAGTTGCATTTTTTTTTTCCGTATGTAATCAAAATATGAAAAGATATATTTTATGTGTCAAATTTAACATTTAAAATTTCTTAGTCACAATCATAATCTATTTTAGAAAAATGAATAATTTGTATTTACTAACCTTTTTTTCATGCATTGTTTAGGTATGTGTTAGAAATTAAATAGTTTTTTTTTTAATGAAAATATCTTTTTGTAGCCAAAATTCTCTAAAATTCCATCATAATCAGAAATTCCTCTTTCTTTTGTTTCTAATTACAATTGGATACCTGCAACTTGCGAAGATAACTGCTGAAATCAGATGCTTGTGAAAAAACAAGTTAATATGTTACCATTACAGCTATTGAGCTTAGTTTATTATCACACTGAATCAATTTTCTTATCAGGTTTAATTGGGTATCTGCAAGCAATGTCGCACATGGTTGCCAAACTTGATTGGCTGTTGAATCTAGCATAAAATTTTTTTTTTTTTTGATTAAGCTGCCAATGAGGTTTAACCCTTCCACATAATGTCACTTTCTAGTATCCAATCGAATAAAAGAAAGTTTAATACCATATCAATGCTTGCTTTGTTGTGCATGTGCTATGAATTTTAATAATATCTAATCTTATTTTCTGTCTTAAAAATACCTTTCAAGTTATAGTTTTTGCAAATTGTCATAATCAAAAAGATCGAAGAGTGTTTGATTATTAGAAAAATATTTTCTTTTTTCGTTCATGTATAATACATGTTTTAAGAAATCTTGTCTGTTGTATAACTTCACTTTAAACCTATTCTAGAAGTAAAACATCATTTATTGAACAAAATGTGGTTTTTATGCTTATTGACTGTTAAAATTGTACTTATTCTTTTTTTTTTTGACTCAGTCCCCATATTTTCTTTTCTTTTTATAAATATGAACATCTTATTAACTTGCATGAATGCAAACTTAATGAAAGTGATGCAAACATAGTAATTCTAATATTATGAATGAAAATTTTTTTAAAGGCAGGTTATTAATATGTTATTTTCAATCAAGTCAATATTATTTATTTATTTATTTTTACTTAGCTTCCTGAAGAACATTGCGTACTTCTGGCATTACCTTGTGGGAAAGATCAACTGGATGTATTAAATCAGTCAAAGAACTTATCAACAGGCTTTATTCAATATCTTCTCAGCAAACAAGCAGCAGGCATCGTAAATGTGGCTACACCTGGATCTCAGCAAGTAAGCAAGAATTACTTATTTCAAGCGAATTCTAAAGACTGTTAAGTTCAAACTACTATTAAGTTCTTTTCCAGTAGTTCATTATTAGCTCTAAGTAGATTTTTCTATACTTAACTGAGTCTAAGTGTGTTTTAGTTTTATGAAAAAAATTAAAAAAATTATAATCTGTTTCAAAAATTTATATGGATAACTGTTATACTTAGATTAAGTGTTTAATGAATACCTTATTTAACAATATTATTTTAGTTATAGTACAATTTTTTTTATTTTTAATTTCATAAAGCTGCAAGATTTTGTATTTCAGAATTTTCTAACAAGTTTATTGATAATTTGAATCTTCAATGTTTTTAAATAGGGTAGTAGTCTGAAAGACTAAATATCTGTTCTTGAGATTAAAAAGATTGGTGATTGCTGCTCTAGTTGCAATTTAAGTTATGCAAACAAATAATAATAATAATTACTATTTATTCAAATGATATTGATAAAGAAAATTTTATATTTAACTGAAAAGCTTTTTTTTTTTTAATCTCATTTATAATTATAGAGAATATACTACAAATTTTTCATCTAGGAATTAATGTTGTCATCTTATTTCATACACTTGCAAAGTTTTTCTATTTTAAGAATAAAATTTTTTTATCTAGAGTATTTTAATCTAAGTATTTGGAGTTCATATAGTGTGAAACAAGGTAATTTTGAACTTTCTAACTCTTAACAATTATTAAAATCTGTTAATTAAAGCAGTAATTCCTAACATTATGGAGATGCCGCAAAGCATTATATGTAAAAGTGTTCCTTTTAACTAGCATATGTAAAAGTGTTCCTTTTTCAATGCTAGTTAGGAAATGTTATTTAATGCATAGCGTATTTCATATAAGTAAGTATTATAACGAAGCAATGGGAATCATTGAGTTAATCTCAAATTAATGATTAATTAAAGATCTAATAAAATAAGTAATAAATTTAATATGATTTTACGTGGGTAAAATTCTATTTTTATGTAAAAAGCAAAAAAAAAATTTCATTCAATGCTGCTACATTTAAGTAAGATTTTTTCTTTTCTTCCATAACCAGAATTTTTACTGTTATTTAAATATTTCTATTTATTAGAATTCAAACTTACATAATCCATATTTTGCAGATGATGTTTTGTCAGTTGTTTTTATTAAATCCTTTTTTTTCTTTCTTTCTTTACAGCCAGCGTATGTGATTCATATATTTCCTACTTGTGATTTTACGAACCAAAGGCTACATATTGTTGCGCCAGATTTACATCAGATAATTGCGGACATAAGTCACTTACTAATTGTTATTGCAACTGTGTGACTTTTTTATTGTTGAATTAAGATGGTATAAATTGTTCCCAAATGTACTGACAACTGCCTTTAGCAGAGTCATCAATAACTCCTGCATCTGGTACTCAGAGCCCCGAGTCCGATGCTTGGTATGATGCCCATCGAGGGCTAACATATTGTGATGTCTTCATATGAAAGAGGTTGCCTGAAGATATAAGTGTGTAATTAGTTCAAGGATCACCAGAATATTCAGAGCGGATTTTATGTCTTATATATATAATTGATGTTATGTTATGTATCAAAATTTCTTAAATGATGTAAAAATAATAATGGGATTCCTTTCTGTTACCAAAGTGTGCAAAAGAACGTACAATTTGAAAAGTTTTGTTGAATTTTACGAGTTACATTTTAATCTATTATTTGTTATAAAACAGTGAAAAAAAATGTGTAATTAGTGCTGTGTGTCTGTCTGTATGTGTGTGAGAGTGTGGATAATACTGGACTAAAAAAATGATTCTGTGATGGAGTGACGATTAATTAACGAAGTTATTAGGATTGAACTGATATTGATGAAATGTGTTTAAAAAAATGTACAAAGCCTGCCTGGGGCATTTTGCTCCAAGATAGGTTGTGTTTTGTTATTCTTATCTGTGTTATATAAATTAGATTCATTCTCTGTACAGAAACTCTATATTCATTCATACTACCATGTGGTCCCTTCCATATTGTAAAATAATTCATTTGTTGCATTCTTTGTTCCCCGACCACTTCTATAAAAAATAAAAATAAATAATTAAAAAAAAAAAAAAAAACATCTCATTATTCATGGGGCCATTTGGCTGTAAATTTTGTAAATATGTAAATGTTTTAGTGATTGTAAATTTTTGATGAAACAAAAAAGCTATTAATCCCATAGGACTATTAGTGATATGGACTTCATAACTGCCCAGATGATTGCTTTCAAAGTAAAATCATGAGAATTGTATATGGTTAGCCTGGCCCAATGTAATTAAAACCCCATCATTGTAAAAAATTATACATAATTGCATATACAAATATATATATATATAAATATAAATAAATAAATATATATATAAATATATATGAAGAAGAAGAAACCTTGTGTTGTTCTTTGTTGCTTCACCTAAAAAAATTGAGCTTAATAAGTATTTGGTGTAAGGAAAAAAAAATGATTCCCTGTTTTTGAATGGATGGCAGGGAAGGCAACATGTATAAAAAGAAGAAACTGTAAATTTTTATGTTCTGTTTTTCATTTTGTACAGGCACAGGATTTATGACAGATGGATGTACAGTAATGTCAGACTTTTCATTGCATCTGTTCTCCCATATTTGCTCAAAAGCCATCACTGCAAAGAGTACCAGCAGATATTTTCACTTCTTTCATTGTGATTTCCACCAAGTTCAGCTGCTCTATTTTTGATGTGAAAATTTCTCAAGTGTCTATTTTGTGTCTTTGCAGCCCAGTTATTGTAAATATTCCAAAAGGGGCTGCTTTGATTTAAAAACAATTGTTTTTTTTTTCTGCTGAAGCACTCTATACAGTGAGTTAAGTTATTCGTAAAGTCAGTAAACAGCTATCACTAAATTATGTGTCTTTTCTTTCCTCTTTGTCTCTTTCACTTTTTTTTTAGCTCATCAACAGAACTTGTGCCATCCATCTTGCTTATCAATGCTCATGTTAATTCTGTGAAGTAAAATATAAATCTCTGGCTCAGCTCTCACACAAAAATTTAAGAAAAATTGTTAATTGATTTTTACGTATTTTATGCAATATATAAGGTGTCTATGAAAAGAACTCCTGTCATCGAGTTCTTCTACTGCTGTGGAAATAAGAAAGCTTTTGATACTTTTTTGCTGAACCCCTGTTAAAACTCATTCTAAATGTTACTCCACATCATCTATTTTAAATAGTTCAACTTCATGTCAATTGCAATGCTCCGCACGACTTGTGGGGGAAGTTCTTGCATTAACAGATTGCAGTCAACTGTAACCTTGCAATGTTTCACTTTAAATATAGTTTTCTAGTTTTTCAAAAAAATATTTATTAAGTAGGCAGCATTGAGTTTTAATTTCCAAGTTTTAGCAACAACAAAAAAAGTTTGAATTGCGAATTAACAATTGAATTTAACATTACTAGATTTTAGTCAGATAAAAATTAGCACCACAGCATTCGTATATGTATGCCAGAAATTTGTAGTTTTGCCATAGAATTAGTATCAGCATAAAAGAAAAATTAATCATGACATATAATCACTGCAAAATACCTGCAACTAAAAAAATAAATTTTTACAACTGTTTTTAAAACTTACACTTTAACAGGAGAGAAATTTTTCAACAAAGCATTGATCTTGATATGAACTGTTAAATTTTTTTTTTTTTCTTTTTTTTCTTATTTTTTTTTNTTTTTTTTTTTTTTTGAAACAGCGTTTATTAACGCTCTACCATGAATATCTTTTATGCGAGACGGTTCAAATTTACTTTAATTTGTGAAAACTTATATTAAGTCTTTTTACTATACATGTTTAAATTCCTTCATTTAAGTAAAGAAAAAACATTAAACTTAGGCTGAAAAAATTATTTTCACACTTTAAAAAAAAAAAAAAAGAAGAAATTAAAATTCATAACCAATTTTTTAATAAATACTAAGTCTAGAGACTTTGTATTTATTAAAACTTCAGTTTATATTGTTAAAAATTTGAAAATCATAACCTATATCTTTTCCTTATTTTTGAATTATTTCATAGATTTTCATTTCATAGATTTTTTATACTTTATAAACTCACTCAACCATTTTAAAACAATTTTACAACTCGACTAAAGAAATTTTGTCCAAAACCAATCAGAAAATAGCTTCACAATTTAAAATTTTATGTTTCTTTTAAAATGTTGGTTTGGAAAAGGAGAAATTTTTGTTTAGTTTTTGAGAATAGTTGGGCATTTTCATTAGCATTAACAAGTTATGCTAATCCAAATTTACATAAATAAGTAAATTTGGATAAACAAAGTTTTTGTCTATGTCAGCAATTACATTCCGTACGTTCTTATTTTTCTGCAGTCAAAATGCTTGGAGGGTTAAACCACCTTAAGATTTTCTATCTATGTGATTTTTAAGATTATTACCTTACCTATTAAGATTTTCTTCCTTAAGATTTTTCTATCTTATCTATGTATTTTATACAATAATAAATGCAGAAGGAAATTAAAAATACTTATTGAAAACTTGATTATAAAAATAAACCATTTTCATGAAATAATTAGTTAAGCTAACTGAATATTTTATTTTTCTGAACATAAATATGTGCACTAAAAATTTTATACAAATAATTTGGGCAAAATGCTAGGTGAAGAATGTTAGAAAATTTCTTAACAATTTTACAATGATGTATGTTTACAATTAGGGATAATTGTTTCAGTGCTAAGTTAAAAAAGTTTCAATGACTTTTTTTTTTTAAATGACTTAAGAGGACACTGAATAAGACTGCATTAGTATAGTGTGCCAAATTTGTTTCTGAACACTGCGTTTTATTTTTCTTAAAAAAAAAAAACATTTTATTTTTAAAATGAAAAGGAACACTGAACTAATTTTTCTAATTGGAAATCAAGTTTGACAAGCTGCAACAACCTCGCAAATTTTATCTTGGAAACAAACTTAAAAATGTTGTTTTCGTTTTAATCTCTTGTTTTGATAACCTGAACAAACCCGTTTTTTTTTTTTTATTGAAATTAAAGTTTTGACAAGTTACAACTTGATATTTAGTCAAAACATTTTCAACAGAAAAAGCATTTCAAGGTTGTTTCAACCTGTCAAAATTTGATTTTCAATCGAGAAAATTATTTCATCGTTTTTTAAAACTTCTTTTTATGATTAAAAAATTTATAGGTTGATTTTTTTTTTGAAACCTTACCATCTCCGAAAACAATTTTGACTCACAGTAGTAAGTTAATTAATTAAACTTGTATATTAAGAACTTGAGGGCAAAACATATTTTGTTCTTGCTTCATTAATGACTTGGAGGCACCTTTCTAAATCATCATTAATAAAAGCATTAATTTTATACTACGCGAACTTTTTCGCCAAGAGTACCAAAATATTTTATTTGGTAATAAAAGTCTTCATGTAGTTATAATGTGTCAGACTGTGTGCATCCTTGACGAAGTATTCCAATTACGAAGCATGATAACTTAAAATATATATTTAATAAACCAACAAATAACATGCTAGCATTAAGTAACAAAGATTGGCGATGGACATTATTAGTAACGTGTTTATATACACTCTGGATCGGTGAGGCAACGCCGCTGTTCTATAACTGCAGGCTGTCGTCATTTCGCAATCGCAACGAACTATAAGGGCCGTTGTTGTATGAGACGAATACCTGCGATTTCTATACAAACAGTCATTCGATTGCTCTGGAGACGTCTTTAATGTAGCGTGTTGCATTGCAACGTTCCTTCTTTATTGTGGCTTATTAAATTTAAAAAAGAAAATTGTTTGATATTCGCGATCGCAAAGCTTGAGTATAACCTCTAGCGGGAGCCTGAAAATGTCAGGCGTTTATTTATTACATTAATTTTTTATTTAATTCCATCAGAATCATTGGCAGCGTCAGTCGCCATTTTCTAAGCAGCAAAATTTCCCTAAGGAAAAGACGAAAGAACTTGAAATTATTCTCCAGAACGTTGGTAAATCTTTCAGAAACAGAACACGCCAAACATTTGAAGAAAAATTCCTCAATAATTTTTAACTTCTATTATCAACAAACTTGCAACTGATAACTTCCGATTTCGGAATCGCATACTGTTACAGATGTGTGTATCAAGGTAAAAAAAAAATTTCTGTCTTCAATTCATTACAAATTAAAATGAAGTCAACATTGCTTTCTTCATTCCAATGAATAAATGTGAATTCAGAACGTACAGAACTGTAATAGTTATAGAATATTCTTCTTCTTTATAGAATAGTATATATTTCTGTGTCTACATAATTTGGAAAACAACAATAAAAAATCATCCGAACTACTTGAAATAGTATCATTTGTTCTGATTATTAATAAATTTTTATCGTTTTCTTAGTAAGTATTTTTTAGTTTTGAAAGAATAATTTCAACTAGAATTCAGCTATTCTGTTTTCAAGTTACACATTGAAATTCATATCGACATCATACAATTATAAAATTTTGCTGTGTGATATGTTATCTAAAAGTAATAAAGGGATTATCTATGTAAATATTATTTGAAATACAGTTTTCAAACGAAGAATATATCATTTTGGAATTCTCCATATTTATAAATCAGGTAAGTGTTATGATTTTTATAATAAAAAATTTTACTTGTAAATAATGAACGAGGAATTTTTAAAATCGTTTTTTTTTTTGTTTATCCTAAGAATTCTTTATTTTACGTTTTTTAGTTTGTAATTTTTTGATAAAAATTGCTGTCAAAATACTTTTTCTGAAAAATTAAATGGTATAACATGTGTTTATGTATCTTCTTGCATATTCTAATGTTTGAAATAATATGATTCATAAGAGTATAGAATAAAAATTCGATACTTACGTATTAACGCCACCACATCAACAAATTTGGCGGTTTTCACGTGCCGCCAATCTACACCCAATGCTAAAATTTTTGCGACAAATCATAAAATAAAACACTTTATTTCAAATCAAAGTAGTCAATCGGATTTCGGTGGAAAATGAGCCATGAGAATCAGTAAATTTTCGTTTTTTGATAAAAATTCGATACTTACGTATTAACGCCACCACATCAACAAATTTGGCGGTTTTCACGTGCCGCCAATCTACACCCGATGCTAAAATTTTTGCGACAAATCATAAAATAAAACACTTTATTTCAAATCAAAGTAGTCAATCGGATTTCGGGGGAAAATGAGCCATGAGAATCAGTAAATTTTCGTTTTTTTGGTAAAATATTTCGTTCTTGAAAAATAAAATTGCATCTTATTCTGTTTTTGGCAAATCCCAAAGACGCATTTTCGTAGCACTAAAAAATGGCGTCNGAATCAGTAGATTTTCGTTTTTTGGTAAAATATTTCGTTCTTGAAAAATAAAATTGCATCTTATTCTGTTTTTGGCAAATCCCAAAGACGCATTTTCGTAGCACTAAAAAATGGCGTCAAAACTCAGCAAGCAACAAGGAATCCAAAAGATACTGTGCGAACAACAGGATTGATCTTTATTGGCGCATTAGAGCAACTTCTGCTGCGGTGGTGTTAGTACATAAGCAGGGCCGGATTTACGTATAAGCTAAATAAGCTGTAGCTTGGGGCCCCGAGATGGCAAGGGCCCCCAAATCCAACTTTTTCCGTCTTTTTTTAAAGTTTTATTCGGAGCTGGAGCCCTATGAAGCCTAAAATAAAATTTTTTTCTTTATTACATTGGCGAGCGCTTTTCAAAATCTAATAGAAGTGTTTACAAGTATTAAGTAATTGTTACTTTTTTAACCAAAAGAGCAATAAATAGGCCTTTTGACTGATGAAAATATCCTGTAGCTTTCGTAGCTATCAGTGATGGGAGTAGTCCATGGATCCTTAAAAGCGGTACTCCATGGAGTAGTCAAATAGCC